TTTCTGTATTGAAAGTCACTTTCCTTTTTACGTGTAATAGTTCCTCCCCCTACAGAATTGACTGAAAGAGATCGATTTTAGCAATAACGCCATCAAATGTTACTCTTTTAGTAATATTTAAGTTCTTTACTAATCTCTTAAAACTTGTCGTGATGCAACGGGTCGTAATAACAAACAAACTCTAATATGTAACAGATAATCGGATCAATCAATCAAAACCGTCGTTGTAAATACTTTTGCCGGTATTTTGGAACTGTATTTTAGTTTAAGAAATGACATAGGAGAGCACTCTCGTAATATGTTACTGTCCTACTAAAGCAATGAGACAGTACCTACAGTTTGGAAAGTAAGAACTTAATAAAAATGTTTCTGATGAAGGATTAATATTGCATATTAAAAATGAATGCATTTTTTTTTCCACCTAATTACTCGAGGGGTAGTGTACTTTTTTTTTATGATTGAAGGATTACTGGTGGCCCGGAGGCCTTTCCAATTTCACCAGAACAGGTGGGCGAGCAAAGGCTCAGCCAGGAGGGGTGGGATTTGCTAACAGCTGCCCGAGCGCCTCCGAAGGAGACCTAACAACTCAAGAGTAGCTGCTTCGCGAATGAATCTACTACCGGATCGGAATCGCGACCCGCTGAGAAGATCCGGCGAGAAACTCAGCGAGCTGATTCATGGGTTAGGTTGCACGGCGAACTCTTTGTCGAGTTCGACGAGTACGGTTACCGAGGTCCCTAAGCCTGCTCCTAGAGCTGAAGGCGTCTAGTGCAAAGGTTATTGGATCTGATGGATCCGTAAGGACGTGTCTAGGGCGTCGACGGTGACTGGCTCCTGCATGATCAGGATTCGGGGAGTAGNCCCGCAAGGAGAGGTCTCTCCCTAGCACCGCGATGAGGTCTCGCCGCGAGCGCTCCCAACGCGGGCACGCTTCGAGTGCGTGCTGAGCGTCATCGTCCGGATGCCCGCACTGGTGGCAACCCGGATGTGGCTCTCTCCTGCAGACCTTCCACAGGTACCTCCCGAAGCAACCATGCCCCGAGAGGACCTGCGTTAAGTGGAAGGAGAGCACGCCGTGTCGTCTATCTGACCATGCCTCCAGCAATATGTTACTATCCTACTAAAGCAATGAGACAGTACCTACAGTTTGGAAAGTAAGAATTTAATGAAAATGTTCATGATGAAGGATTAATATTGCATAATAAAAATGAATGCATTTTTTTCACCTAATTACTCGAGGTGTAGTATACTGTGAGCCCATATATATTGTTTCGCTCCGATCGGTGTGATCGTCGACGCATAATGAGATTGAGATTTCGACCTCATCTCTCAAGGTGAGCGGCGCCCTTGACGTTTGTGATCTCTTTAGGCTCGTGGAACTACCAAACTACCACACCTATCTAGAAATAATAATAATAATAGCTGCAACGCAGAAATATCAACACCGTTCTAATAACAACATTGAAACTCCAATAAGTACTTTTATAACTTATGATTGCAAAACGAACCCATGACTGAGTGGGTGCAATGACGCTGCCCATCTTGAATCATAAGATTAAAGTCATCATCATCAGCCTGTATCTCTTCACTGCTGGATGTAGGCCTCTCCCATAGTCCGCCACAATGAACGATCCTCCGCCTTCCGCATCCAATCTTTCCCAGCATATCGCCGCAAGTCATCGGTTCAACGGGCAAAAGGACGCCCAACGCTGCGCTTACCGGTACGTGATCTCCAGTTCAGAACACGTCTTCTCCTCGGCCATCGGTTCTGCGACACGTATGTCTGGCCCATTGCCATTTCAGTTTGCTAATATTTAGGGCTATGTCGGTTACTTTGGTTCTTTGACGGATTTTATCATTTCTGACTCGATTAATCAAAGGAACTCCGAGCATACACCTTTCTATAGCACGCTGAGCGACTTTGAACTTACGGAACAGACTTACAGTCAATGTCCACGTTCCAGCGCCATATGTCATGACCGGCAGCACGCAAGCGTTGAAGACTTTTGTCTTTAGGCATTGCAGCAACCCCGCAATGCCCAAAGATTAAAGTATCTATGCATTATTACAATGGCTATCTTCTAAGAGGAACGCATGACTATTTAGCGCCACAAAAACGATAAGCACGTTCGGCTTGCGACCCGAACTACACACACATGGTTGTTATGTGGAAAAACTGGAGCGTGCTGCCAATAAGGACGCGTGATTAGAAACAGCATCCTGAGGAAGTTTCGCTCGAATACCCGTATCTTGTAATAAACAACCGGGTTAACTATTAAATAATCGTTTTTTTTTTTTTTTTTANCGTGACGGGAACGGAAGCGGGAGCGCGACCGAGCTTCATAACGACGGGACGGTGGTCTGAATCTAACTCTGAAACTACTTCGATCGAGTGTAAGCGCAGAGTTACGTTTTTTAATAACGCTATGTCGAGTATATCCGGGCGATGCGCGATATTTAGCGGGTAGTGAGTCGGGGTTAGCGGAGCGACGATATCGAAGGCGAGATCATCAACTAACGCGTCCAGCCGCCTGCCATTCGGGGTTAAATCATCGTTATGATGCTCTGAACTGCCAACTTAAGGTCGGCTTTGCGAAAAAAATCTGACCATAAAACTAATGAAAACACGAGATAAATTATTGTTCAAGATTGCTAAGCGTAGGCGAACGCATATTATTCCAGGTTAAGGTTACCAATTAAACGGTGGACACTACTGTCTGTCATTTTAAACTTGACTAACGGCTTATGAAGCAGATCGAGTAAAGATTGTTTTTCATTGAACACGTTCATAAATAGGTCCTATCTAAGGTTTTTTGAATAATTCGTTCAAAAAATCAAGTCAACCAACCAACAGGAAGCAGGAATACCTGCCTAACACACATTTATAAACACAACATCATCATCATAATTAACAGCCTATAAAAGTCTACTGTTGGACATAGGCCCCTCCCTGGGCACACGATCTGGCCGTGCAGTCTTGGCTAAGAATAGGACTACCCCATTTCTTCCCGTGGGTACCATGAGGCAGTAGGCAGATAAGTTCTCGCAGTATTCACCCAATGAATATCAACACATGTGAGAACCAACTAATGACAGGATAACCATCCAAAAGACGTAAGTAAATGGTAGTCTAAAGGTGCAAAGAGCTACGCCCTGCGGACGTCGACCTGCATTACAGCGTGGCAACTAAAGTCATATCGATGGCCAGTTAAAGAAATTTATAAACGACTTATGCTGTTTATAAAAGCAATGATTGATTTTCATAAGGAGATGGGATGACAAGAATAAATTCCTCAGAGCCCAGAGCACTCCCAATCGAACATACGGTGCAAAACACAGAGAGAACAGTAATCCCTCCGCAGACCCAGAACGTCCAAACAATCCATGGGACTCACTCTGCTGATATCTCTCAGTATCTTGGACGCCAATTTGGCTTTGTCCTCCAAATAACTCCTATATAATATTGAACATTACTTGAAGCATCGATCTCAAGTATATCCATACTCGTGGAAGGTTGCAGGGATACTCCTTGGTTTATTTCTCAGTAGAGTTATTTTTCAATCCACAGCAACTATGGTTATGTTTAATTTCTTAAATTTAAAAAAATATCCGATAGATACTACTCACTAGAGGCCTCTGTGATAACGAAACAACACTATGCCGTTAGTTACAAATGATTTCTCTAGATGGCGCTATACGAAATAACAACTACGTCGAGATGAGCTTTTGGCGGAATTAACGACTTCAATTTCAAATGTTTTTTGTTACCTATTGCATAAATTGACCTTTGGCTTTCTGCTTCTATTATTGTTTTTATTATACTATGTTGAGTTGGCTGTTGGTCCTTCTTGTAATAAATAAAAAAATAAGAGATATTTAGAAAGAGCACAACAAACATATTCATCCCTATGGAATATTTGGGTTTACGGAAATACTGATTTCTACCATATCGTCTTTTCACATTAAAAGTGTACAATTTCCAAAAATATGCGAAATTGAGTTAATATGCGGAATCATTTGGTATCACACACAGTATTTTTCTCAGAAATACTGTCAAAAGAGCGTAGTTTAGTTTTAGTTTTTTTTTTGTTTACCTATGTTATGACTACTATTAACAAAATTAATACATAATTTTATCTTACTTTAAAAGAGATATTGTAACTAGAAAAAAATAAAAAATAAATGTTGCAAAGGTGATTAATATTAAAAATATCACATGTTAAACCTTTAAAACACTCTCCTGTAAAATTAGTAAGTTTTGAAATTATACAGTTTTAATGCGAGAAGACGATATCATGTTCCATGAAGTCGTTTTTTTGAACCTCCTGGAATCACTGCATTTCAGATCTTTCTCTACGTTCCATGGTACCCTAGAAATAACTTCTTCCACAGTTCCCTACAAAAACATGTGCATCTTCAAAGGTGGCTTCAAAGAAGAAATAATAAACAGGTAATAACTTACGGTCCTGGCATTATTACCTTACTAGTTTAACTTCGTTATTTTATTATTTTTTTATTACTTAGATGAGTGGACGAGCTCACAGCCCACCTGGTGTTAAGTGGTCACTGGAGCCCATAGACATCCACAACGTAAATGCGCCACCCACCCTGACATATAAGTTATAAGGTCTCAAGTATAGTTACAAAGGCTGCCCCATTACTGCTTCACGGCAGAAATAGGCAGGGAGGCGGTACCCACCCGCCGGAGGTCCTACCACCAGTACTTACGCAAATTATAATTTTGCGGGTTTCATTTTTATTACACGATGTTATTCCTTCACCGTGGAAGTCAATCGTAAACATTTGTTGAGTACATATTTCATTGGAAAAATTGGTACTCGCCTGAAATTCGAACACCGGTGCAACGCTCAACACGAATGCACCGGACGTCTTATCCGCTAGGCCACGACGACTTCGAGGTAGGTACTGGGTGAGATTGTCATAATGAAATCTCTTAGCTTCGGATCATTTTCGGGTTCTTGAAATGAATCACGCAGGAATACAGAATAAGTTAGACAACACATTTATTTCACAAATTCATAATAAATTGCATACACGTGTATTTCAAAACTATAGTCACAAACGATTAAAAAAGCCTCTTCTGTACAATGTACAGGCACACCGCCAAAAAGAATAAAAATGCAAAAAACATGATCACTTTGTCCGTAAATTCTCTACGTCCGTATTTCTTCAGTAGTTTGCTCGATTGCGTAATCGTTCCTGCTGTATTTTCCAATTCCGATTGTGTTCCCTAAAATATTAAAATGTTAACTACTAAAAGTGTACTGCTAAACATTTTTAAAATTGGATTGCAACAGCAATAGTGAATTATCAATCAACTGTGGACTAAAGTCTTCCAGTAAGCATCATAGTTTAAAAACAAATGCCTTTGAGATATATTTGTTTTAAAAAAAAAACTTGTGATCAAAATTGGAGCAATACTCGCAAACTAAATGGGCTTATGGCACTTACATGCACTGTTGAACTAGATGAAACCAAATTATCCAAAGTATTTTGACTCTTTTGTGTGGTGTCCGCTAGCTGCCTGCTTACGGAAAGTAATTGCTCTGTCACACCTAAACAAAAACAAACGATTGGTGTCTAAGAACCTTTCTTGTTGTTCTTATATCCTATATATATTTTTTAAACTTAATAGTGTAATGTATATTCTATTCTTCTTCTTCTGCCTCTCAGTCTACACTCCTAGCGGGGTGGTTGTGGTTATGTATTGTCTTATTGCTTGGTTAAGGCTGATAGACAGAGATGGAGAAGCCTCGCAAAAGCCTCAACCGAGCAATAAAACATACATACATAAGCTATCTGAATTCCAGAGCGCTTTAGAACTGAGCTTTATGGCACAAGTTGACTAGTAGCAAAATTGCAATTACAGAGCTAAAGTATTCTTATTACATTAAGTGGCTATATAATCTATGGCCTTTGTCTATTGAGGTATTGAAGAAAAAACTTCAATGTTGAAATTTCATAGTATACATAGATCACTCAATCACCTGATGACATTTTGACCAATCCATCCTTATCCATCTTTTTCTTTCTTTGTCGGACTGATGACTTCTCATTATCACTACATTTTAATAAATCTTCTCTTTGTGCCTTTTCAATAGCAAACATACTATTTATATTGGCATCTTTAAATTCCTTAAGGAGACTGAAATTGTTAAAATTATATTACTAGTTTTAAAAAATACAAGTCTCTACTATGAATATGATTCATTATTAAAACTTAAGATGACATAGTCAAAATAAGTTTTTAGCAAATACTTTGTAATAGAAAAAAAAGTTTCGCCTTTCAATGCAAACATGAAATATATTTTTTTTAAATAAAAATTATAGTTTTTTGCTACATTAATATGATACTACTGCTTCTTTAAGCATACTCTACTGGATTATAGACCTACTTAAGGTAGATTATAGATTACTAAATCACAGCTCCGCAATTTAAATGAAAACAATTATTGACCAACTTATTGTCAAAGGTCTTCTAAGTTTTAGTGCATTGTACTAGGTCCTAAGTTTTATTGCATAAAAAGAAGGGTGTTTTTATCAAGATTTTTACAAAAGATGAGTTATATGTTTTAGTAACTGACCAAGCTAAAAGGTGTCTCTGTGATTCTAATTCAGTATCATATTTTGTATCCCCTGTTTCTTTACCATACAGGTATAAATTTTCTAATTCCTCTCGTACTTCCGTTATTTTTGCCCTTCCTTTTTCATTTAACTCATTTAATTTCTCCATTGACTCCCTGCATTCCAGGATATCCTAAAAAAACAAAAAATATTTCTAATTCTAAGGTTTATTCCGCAAGTATCAAGCTGTAATCAAATTGCTCAGTTATTAAAAACTGTTATTGTTGTCAGGTGCTTTTGGTTTATTGACTCAGATCAACAACTCAAGAAACCAAGAAACCACATTGTGTAGTAGTTAACAGTGTTCATCATTTTATTTATTTATTTATTATATGAGTGAATAAGCTCGGCACAGTTCAGTAGTGTGAATTAATTTCTTGTGCTAATAGAAATAACAAAGTGAATGTGAATGCAAACAATGAGCTCGTACTTAACTTTCAATACTTTTTCTTTTATTGTTCATCTAAGCTATTAAAAAGATGTCTATGAACTACGAAATTCTTAATAAGAAATACAAACTGAGTTTTTAGATTCTAGTCCTCTTCTACTTACTTTACTATTCTAATTCTACCGAATATCTTCTATGTAAAAAATACATCTAGACAAAAAAATCTAATTTATCTAATTAATTTAATATACAAACAACATACCTGGATAATTGCTTTGACTTGAAAATGATACTTAGCCAATCTCTTCACGAAATTCTGATAGACCACATCAGGATTTTCTAATTTTGCAAACAACGATTGATGATATGGGTCCGTTGGACTCAAATCCATTTTGAGGGCCATTGTGGTGTATTTTCTATATTATCATTAAAATTTATATTAATTTACAAGTTAAATAACACTTAATCTTATTTGTTTTTAGAGAGTTTACGGATTCATAAACTTCACTATTGTCATTACAATGTCATGTGTCAGAAATGTCATTCATCATAAATCATGTCACTAGTAGGAAGGTAGAAGTAAGAAGTCCACCGTGTTTTTTATAGACAAGTTTGCTAAGTGTCCACCTGTAAACAGCAGCTTCTACCTTCTATACATACACTAATCAACTCGATCCAAACAATAGCATAGATAATATGTATCTACACTTCATATTTGAGAATATTTGGTGCAAAGCAGAACATGTTTCAAAACCATCGCAACAAATTCGCAAAATATTAACTTTCTTATTTCCTACAACAAGAATCAAATTTTTTTTAAAAGGATTTATTCATCAATCGTTAAAGTACCTACATTTCTTATAATACAAAATAATGTACATGGCCTATTGAAAGCAATAACGATATTATCTCAGGTTAAAACTTCATGTGATTAGGTATCCCTTAAAAGATTCTACATATATTAATATTACTGATAGTAAGCTATAAACCCGCGCGGATGGATACCACCACCCTGCATGTTTCTACCGCGAAAAAATAATGCGTTTCAATTTGAAACGCGGGACAGCCGTTGAACTATAGGACTAAGACTTAAAATGAACTCTCATGTTGGCGGCATTCATCATGTGTATGGGCCGAAAGCTTATACACCCGTCAAAGCAAAAAAGTAGCTACTGTCGTCTTTAATAAAGCATGCTAAATAATTTAGCACTCGCAATAAACGATAGTACTACAAACACTAGCTTCAAAAAGGTACCTAATGGCAATGACGTACACATTATTAAATCTAGCAAATTTAAAACGTTCTCACAGAAACTAGAAGTATCCAGGTATATAGCGTGATAGCCACGAGATGATTTTATTTTAGATCTACATTTCGGACAGTCCGATTGCCTTTCCAACGTTGTCTTTAAGCAGGTGGCGCAGAACACGTGGCCACATTTCGTCGCCAGCACGGATTTATTACAAAGATCTTGTAGACAAATTGGACAAATTACACTGAGTTTTTCATGCTGACTTTTAATATTTGTCTGAAAATAAATCCATCATAACACATAATTCGGTCCAGAAAACAAAAATGCCCGCTGGGGACATTACCATTACATTAACTCCATTTTTTTTTCTACCTATGCTGATAGCCTTAAGGGGCTATATTAGCTTCGCCCTAACGTTTGTAGGTGAGCTCACGGGGCTCAAACCTGATGACGTTGCTAACACGAACCCTAGCAAGAGCCGTGCTTCGCAGAATCTACCACCGGATCGGAAACGCGACTCACTGAGAAGATCCGGCGGGAAACTCAGTGAGCTGTGTCTATGGGTTAATTCGCTCGTCAGTGGGCTGTGTCTGTGGGTTAATTCGCTCGTCGAGTCCTTCGTCGCCAGCAACGGGTTCAACGAGGACGGTAAAAGGTGCTTGTGTTACCTAAAAGCACCGTTAATGGATCAGGAGGATCCGTAATGACGTGTTTTGGGCGACGTCGACTGTTTACCATTCGGTCTACAGGATCGGGTATGTATAACTTCTAATTAATATAGGTTTACTAAACACAAAGATTAGATTGTCATGATCGTTTCACTCTTTTTCATATAGATAGGAATTAAATATTTTAATAGAGGCTTGGTAATGTCATATAGCAAAACTCTTTGGGAGACTGAGACTACTTTCTGGCGAACTGCCCCTCTTTTCTATGCCTTTTCTAAGGCAAAAAACCTGATAAACTAAGCCTATAGGACATAGTTTTGCTGCCACGACATACATAATTAGCTACGTGTTAGAGCTTCAACCCTTCTGAAGAAACGTCTGAAGAATGTCTTTTAAATCCCCCTTAACAGTATTGAAGTTGGGCTTTGTCAGTTTAAGGCTACAACAAAAACTTAGGAGGAAAAAACTTACAAGATCTTTTTTATTCTTTGATTTCTTTTTTATCTTTTTAACACGCTTCCCAATTTTCTTTGTGCTGTCTGTAGTAAATGCAGGTTTCATAATGCTAAGCAGAGGAGACCGTAGGAAGAAACATTGGTGTGGCACAGAAATTTAGCTAAAATACACTCATGAACTCTTATGCGTAAAAAAACTTAGCGTCTTAGGTGACATTTAGTTTTTGCTGTCTTTTAAATCTTGATGTTTAATTTTGAAGGTTTTACTTCTAAAATTTATTCAAGGATTAAACATAGGGTCTAAAACTCTGTTCATTCAGTACAGATTTGCTGAGCATGTTCTTACTTAATAATACTTAAATTTATTATTATCAATTTTGATAGTTGTAATACTTATATGTTCAACTTAAGTACCTATCTCTAATTATTTATTTGTGATGAAAGGATTTTTGTTGGCCTCAGATCGTGTCGGCCGGGCAAACCTTAAGGCTTAGCTATGAGGGACGGATGTTCTAAAAACTGCCAGAGGCCCGCCGTCTCCAATTACATAGCGTATCACAGTTTTTATCTATACTTTATAATATATTTTCTATGGTCAACAACGTTATTTTTTTCCTAATGGATCAAGGATCGTCAAATTCTAAAAGGGATTTAAAAACATTTTCATATTACAATAATAATATTCCAATGTAATGTGATATATCAATAGTTCTGCGACTGCGACGCTTTAAACTCGACACTCCCGGAAAGAGATGAGTTTTGATTGTACACCACATAACCAATTTTGCTTTTGAATTGACCCTCCGGTCGGTGATGAATCCACGATCTAATGTTATAGCGGGTCGTAAATGACCCACCCAATACACAAGTTTAATTCATATTAAAAATAATTAGGAAATAAAACATGTTTCGTTGTTATTCAAAATGCATTTAATTGTTGATATTAAAACACAATGCCTCATGAAAAGCTTTCATGAACGAAAGTAAACTTGGTCTTCGTAGTGCTAGACGTGTATCCACATTTGTGTCTTAATGCTTTCACTAATTTCTTCGGTCCGCAACAATATAAGTTCAAATGGCGTCTGAAAGCGGAAGTAAAATTTTAATACTGATCAGCACAGTTCATACATCTAAGTAATTAACATGATCAAAAATAACCCTATGACACTGTTTTATTTCCATCTCAAGTAGTGTTTTGGAATTATGTAAAACTTAACCTAATTAACATGTGAAACATTAACAAGTCGCACGCAAATCATGTGTGCATAATGCGAATTTTTTTATGTTCTCGATAGCTTAAAAACTACAAGGGCGGGATGATAAGTAACTAGCCTAACAATAAAACGCTTAACTTTTCGTGATAAAATTAATTTTATTTTTCGACATAGTCTCCGTGAACCTCTACAGACTTATTCCATCTTCGTTCTAAAGCAGTAATGCCTTCCATAAAATGATTTCTTTCGAAGTCTGCAAAATACTCCTCTACAGCGGCTATGACTTCATCATTTGTGGTAAATTTCTGTCCGCCCAAAAAAGTTTTGAGCTTAGGGAATAAGTGGAAGTCTGATGGCGCTATATCAGGCGAATAAGGTGGGTGATGAAAATTATCTAGAAGATTAGCGTAGTATTCTCCATTAATCGTTTGACCTTTAGGAAGGTAATCTATCATCAAGATCCCATCTGCATCCCAAAAGACGGAAGCCATCACTTTTCCAGCCGACTTTACAGCCATGGCTTTTTTGGAGCCGGGCATCGCGATTGCGTCCACTGTTTTGATTGAATTTTTGATTCTGGCATGTAATAACGAACCCATGTTTCATCTGTTGTTACAAATCGACGTAAAAAATCGGCATTATTACTCTGAAACGGTCCAGACATTATTTTGACTTTTGCACCCGAATCTTCTTTTGATCGTGCATAAGCAATCGTGGCACCCAACGGGCCGATCGATGACTTTTTCATATTTAATTCCTCACTTAGGATATGATGTACCTGGTCTTTTGAGATACCTGTAGTATCAGCTGTATCAGATAACTTCAATCGTCGATCTGTTAAAACCATATCATGTACTTTCACGACCATTTCCGGAGTCGTGACGCTTTTTGGACGTCCGGGGCGGGCTTCATCTTGGACACATGTACGACCACGTTTAAGCTCAGCCACCCAGTTTTTTACTATGGCATAAGAAGGAGCACATTCACCCTAAGCATTATTTAACTCGTCATAGATATCTTTCCCCTTCATGCCCTTCATATGAAGAAACTTTATCACCGCTCTTTGTTCAATTTTATCCATTTTGAAAACACTTGACGAAATATATTTTCAAATGACAAAAAATCAATAAAATTTTCACGCCATCAAATTCAAATTTAGAACACAGGTAGCCAGAGATACGAATTTAAAAAAGACATATATTTTTTAAAGTTTAACTTTTTAAATAGTAGAGGCTAGTTACTTATCATCCCGCCCTCGTAGCTCAAATTTGTATGGAGTTGGAACAACATCCCTAGCGGCAAACGTAGGCAAACGTTCCAACCGCATACAAATTAGAGTTAACTTTACGCTATCGAGAAGTTAAAAAACTCGTACTCACAGAATAAGTGCACCTAGAATCCGAGTATTTATTGGCTTTAATAATGACAAAGGAAAAAAAAACGGGAATCAAACACGGGCCCCGTGGAACAAATTCATTTGATGCATTACGTAACTTGAAACGAAATGAAATGTTCATGTAAAAGAATATAAAACTCACTCTGGATAGAAATGAACCCAAAAACCGAATACGCGGTCCCAGTATGGCCTGCCTCTCAGTACCCTGCACCCAAGCACGGGATACTCTTTGATCACATCACAACTATTTCTGGATTCTGCTTTAGTATACGGACTTCTCTTATTCGGAGTCAGTAGGATTGTTTTTTCGTCATCGGTAACATTATCTCGCACTACATGAGTAAGACTTCCTTTCTCGTCGATAGAAACGGTGTGAGCTTTCGTCTGTACATTGTCTTTGGTTACGTAAAGCTCCAGATGTAGTCGATCTGGTCGGTTCGCGGTTCGAAGCTGTAATATAGTTTTGTTTGCTAAATCTGCGAGCCATGCGAGCTCGCTTTCGTTTCTCACTATCCATATTAAATGGACTCTGCCCGGAAATCGACTCCGTGGGTTTCTGGAAATAGACAAAAATATCCAACTAATCTTTAATCTACATTATAGGTACACAAAACAATTTCAAAACGGGATTATGTAATAATAGATGAACTCAATTTGTAAATTGGCGTATTTTTATAATACATGCATATTTGGTAACACCACCCTGCAGCAGTCATGCGTTCCCCATTTCAAGTTATGATGATACAGAAGAGATGCCAACTATCAAAGTGTCGGGAAACTAGACATTTATTTCTATAAAATTTCGACTTTAACTTTATCTCTTAAGCGACAGTTTTCCGTGGTGAATCGAATCTCTAACACCAAATGACGTGAAAACACACCAAAGAAAAGTTACGTATAAGATTGAAAATTTCTTTTGGGACTATAGTTGTTTGAATGATGAGGACTGTGTGCTTAGTGCGAGTTTTTTAGCGTTCTCGATAGCGTAAAAGTTAGCTCATATTTGTATGGAATGGGATGATTTGCGTACGTTTGCCGCTAGGGGCGCTGTTCCAACTGCATACAAAATTGCGACAAAATGGTCGAATACATACTGTAGCATATGATGTAAAACCGGTACAAAAGGCGTGATTCCAACTCCGGCAGCCACACATATGGCGACTTCACACCAACTGACGCCTTCCATGGGACTTGAAAATGGACCGTCGACCAATATACTGGAACACAGTTATATTGACTAGTGCTATCGTCGAAATCAAAAGAGAATCACTCTCAACAATTAGTTTCACTTTAACTAATAAGGGATATTAATATAGGTATAATGATAATATTAAAGCTTATTAACAGCTATCTATTCAAATATCTATTCTAATCTATTCAATGGTGAAGAAACTGATAAAGTTGGACTGTTCTGTGTATACCTAATTAAATAAGTATATAATAGATTTTCTTTATACATTGTCCCAGACTTCACAACCTAATACATTACTAAAATTTTCCTCTTGTCTTGTTTTTAGACCAGCGAAAAAATTGTTAATCTCGAATTACTAATCGATGTGTCCTCATCTTGAATACTCTTTTGGGAAACGTGAAAGGAAATATTTTAGAGTTAAGAAGCAAGAATAGGAAAGTTTTCTAATTGATTAAGATTGGAAACATTCTTCAACAAACAAAAACTCACTTCAAAGTATTCGGTCTTGTATAAAGCAACAGTTTTTCTAGAGCGTCAGTCCAATCGCCTTTAACTCTTATCCAAACTATAAAGTATCTTTGGTTTTCTGTAGGAACCTGGGAAATTGTAGAGATATTATAAATTACAACAAGAAGATAGTAGTTTACGAAAAATAATCGATACCTCATAGGTCTTCATTTCGACCAGATATATAAATTAATCGGCTATGAATACAGTTCATCACTAGACACAGTATAATGTCTCTAGCTTTCAACGGGGGTACAAAAGAAACAAAATGGGTCTTTTTATTTATTGCCTAGACGGGTCAACGAGCTCACGGGCCTCCTCGTGTTAAGCGGTTATCGGAGCTGATAGACATCAACAATGTTAATACCGCTACCTTATCTTGAGACATCAAGTTCTACAGTAATCTCAGTTCTATAGTAGAAGAAACAAGCAAGATTGTTGTAGCTAACCGTCTGAAAGAACATTGTCGTCTGGAAGAACAGAAAGTCGTCGTGGCCTAACGGATAAGACGTCCGATGCATTCATGTTGAGCGATGCACCCGGTGTTCGAATCTCAGGCGGGTACCAATTTTTCTAATGAAATACGTACTCAACAAATGTTCACGATTGACTTCCACGGTGGAGGAATAACATCGTGTAATAAAAATGAAACCCGCAAAATTATAATTTGCGTAATTACTAGTGGTAGGACCTCTTGTGATTTCGCACGGGTGGGTACCACCACCCTGCCTATTTCTGCCGTGAAGCAGTAATGCGTTTCGGTTTGAAGGGTGGGGCAGCCGTTGTAACTATACTTGAGACCTTAGAATTTATATCTCAAGGTGGGTGGCGCATTTACGTCGTAAATGTCTATGGGCTCCAGTAACCACTTAACACCAGGTAGGCTGTAAGCTCGTCCACTCATCTAGCAATAAAAAATAAACAAAAAAAAACATTGTTGAAAATTAAAATAAGACATGATTTTTTTTTAAGAATTCGGCTCCAACGCCTTTGGCATTGATTTTGCAAATTTTACAAAAATGACAGGTGCTTAGAGAGGAAAAAAATTACTAAATCTAAATACAAATAAATTTGGTCAGTTTTTCCATACACGAATCTGAAGACATGACTTAAAGGTTTTAGTTACCAGGTCATAAAATCCCTGAAAAAGTATATATATATAACCACTTTGTGACCTCGCCAAGTTTTGAATAGGTAAAGAAACGCTTGAGGAACATCGTTTATTCCCGTCAAGATGCGTTGATCTATCAACAAATCAGCGAAAATCGCTTCGAACTGAAAAGCGTTTACGCGTTAGCGCGAAATTAATAACTACCAACTGAAATTACCTTGACAACAGTGAAAGGATGCCATTCTATGAGCGAAGAATCCAAACACTGCAACAGCACGTATTGACCCGCGCGACATTTGAACTCCAAGTCGGGGCAGCTTAATTTCAAGCTTATCACGCGACCAGCCATGTGAGCCACCTCGGAAATTTAATTTTGATTGTTATTATAATAATTAAAAAATATTAAATTATTTGGATTTGTTATTTATTAATAAAGATTAACATTAATTGGAAAAATATATTTATTATATATATTATATATATTTTTACAATGGCACGCGTATGCGAACTCACCACCTAACATAATGTAAATTAAATACCACCATCTTGAGACATCAAGATAGACTCAAATGCATTGTAATATCGGCTCTATCCTACACTTAAACTCCAAAAAACGTATTATTGTAGAATTGGGATCGTCCCGCATAAAATAAAACTATTCCACTGTTAACTCCACTTTTATACTTATGTTCTAAAATATTTATTTTTATAATTAAAAATCAACTGACACCTTCTACGCCTTGCTCATTCAACCGTCTTCTGCCACCAGTACCATATTGAAAAGGACTATTACCGCGAATGAGCGACAGAGAACGAATTGTAAACAAATGGTAGTATATAGAGATAGCCTGTCAACTTCTAATTGATGCAGTTAGTTTAAGTTATGATTCTCTGATCATATATATTATTATAGTATTTAATTGTTGTTTAAGCATACTAGAAGTTTCGCAACTATATTTATTCCAAACTACGTAACGCGATTAATACGTAATATATTGTATTAATTAATTACGTACGTGTTCCAATTGCGCGGCCGCATAAAGAGGATTATGCTAATTTAATCAGCTCTCGAAAGAGTATATCTGAATTTCGGGGCGCAATACGTACATAAGTATATTGTAGAAAAGTTGGTATTTAATTAAATAGATAAATTAATAAATATAAATATAAATAAATATAAATATTTACTAACAATCACGCCACGTTAACTAGTCCCGTGCTAAGTTCGTAAAGAACTTGTGTTACAAGTACCAGATAACGGAAATAAATATAATATTTTTATTATACACATACATATATTTAATATACACCCATAACCCTGGAAAGACATTTATATTTATCATACAAATATCTTCCCTTGGCGGGATTCGA